TACCGCCCGGGTAAACAGAATGGAAATGCTGATGGGTTGTCTCGACAAACTGACCTAGAGAAATGATCCGTGAGCCTCCCCGGACATCCCCAAGCCGATCCGTGTTGGATCAGACTGTGTATGCCGGCTTGTGGGCAAGGGGGAGCAGTGTAGCGGATGGCACCAGGCGACCCTACAAAAATACTGTATAAAGCTGCATCCGTGTATTTGCTGTATTTTCTGTGTATTAAAAAGAATTGTATTCCTCTGATTGTTCGGTAGTTTCATTCCCTTAGTTTATTCGAATGAAACTACCGAACAACCAGACCTCCCCTGTGTGAAGTGTGTCCTCAATTACCCGTTGCAACATTGTTGCGAACGGGTAATTGAACAGTAAGTAGCCGTCCTTTGTTCTCGGGGGTGGCCGCCATTCGACAAACGAACACGTGGCGGCGGCCATTTTAAAACTCCCGAACAGCGGTGTTTTGCCGTCGAGTGTCTGGAACTAAAATCGGACACTCGAGTAGGCGAACACCGCTGAGACCTCCACAGCCCTGGTCCGTTCGGTTCCAAACTACCGAACGGCCCCTCGTTCGGTAGATAGAGAATACCGAACGAGGGGATTCAGGCGAACCCTCCCTAGCCTCTATAGCTAGAGGCTTTCGTGTATTTTATTCCCTTATGCCAGGACCGACCGCAAGGCCCATTCACATGGAACCGAATTCGGCTATCTCAGTTCGTGCGGTCGGTCATTTTATTCCCTCCATACTTTTCCCGAACCCCTGGTCTGATCTGGGTGATTTTTGGATATGTTGTTCACCCAGATCAGGGCTACCAGGGGATGTATGATTTAAAGAGGTACCCCTACGTTTAGGGGTACATCCAGAAATGGGGGGAATTGGTGTGCTGGATAAGGGGATTATGATGCTGGCTGAGGGGAGGAGATGTGTGGGAGGTTACCAGGACAGGATTGGCTACTGTAATAATTACTGTAAGTCCCTCCCTTGCATGGGAGCATGCTTTATAAGGAGACTGTGATTAAAGGCTAGTTAGTTATGCTCCTGAAACTGTGTGTCGTCCAGTTATTGGGATTGCTGTTGGGATATTGCTGTATTTTACCTGCTGGAAACCCTGCCTTTGGATTTACTATTTACTTGTTCCTGAGTCTCACTTGGATTATAAGCGGAGATAACCTGGGTAATATTGCATCTCCGCTACACCCACTTATCCACCAATGACTTTTAGGGACTAGCCCTATTTAAAGAAATTCTTGGGGTGGGGATATTAGGATTTGTTACTATTGTTTGCAATTGCAATTTTTTCTCTTGTATTATTGTGGTCCCTTAGCAAGTTCTGCTTAGGAACAAAACGCGTTGGACCGTTTCTTTTATCCTTACGTTTATATTAACCTTTATGGTGATTGTTTTTCACCTTTTTATAAATAAATAATCCTTTTTATACCTTCACCTTCCTGGAGTCCTGTTCCATCAACCAGTGACTGTGGAGTGGAGAGTGGGATTAGTAGCCCCCCAGCTACTTCAGGGGAGGCACCCTATGAGCGCTATGTCTGTCAACATTCTGTGAGTGCATTTCATGTGGTGCATGATATATTGAGTGTTTACTGTATTGCGCTATTTTTTGTTTATTTCCCTCTGTTTTAGATTCATTCAGCCGTATCCCCAATCTGCTGTTGGTTGTATATGATCGAGATTTGAACCTCTGATTTACTTTTAAAATCCTATATTAAAGATTTCACAAATAACATCATAATCCAGACCAATCAGGGCAAAGCCAGGGTGCACATTGCAAATGAAGAGGAGAAATAGGGACAGGGCCGCCTTTGGAGATACAGATAATATCCTGGAAAGGGTGCCGCACCACATTGTCCAGCAGTATAGGGGGTCCTTCAAATCAGATGGGAGCCATCACGGGCAGCAGTGCTGGAGGGCTAATGGCTCAGAGGCTAGGCAGTGCCTGCAGGGGCGCTGATATGGCTTTTGGTCATATTGTCGCCTTCTGGCTCTCTGACAAGGAGTTTGGGGTAAGACTGCCTAGAAGGTTGGAGTAAAAGCTAGGGACAAGGGATATATTTTTACTGCTTACTCTGGCGGGAAGAGGTTGGGGATCTATGTATGTGTGTGTCTGTTTTTGGCAGTGTATGTGTATATGTGTGTTTGTGTGTGTCTGATAATAAGAATCTGTGTAACAAAGTAACATTGTGGACATTGTGTATCTCTGTGTGTTCTAGAAAAGTGTATAGTTATTACTGTTTGTGTGTGTGACAATGAGTATGTGTGTAGGTAGGTAGCCCAGCTTTTTATATTTAAGGGGCCCCAAGATGTGTGATGGTAGCCCTGGATAGGAACCCTTTTTTATTTCTTCCCATACGTTTCTCTGTTGACTGCCACAGTTAATAACAATGATTGACAGGTAGCCAAGAGGGATCATACATGATATAGAGGTGTGTGAACGTCTACATTTGCTTTTATTCCTTACTCCTCAAGTTACATAAAGGGGATAAGTAAACAGAACATGACAAATCATTTTACTTTATTAAAAACAAGTTTTTGTTATTGTTTATTATGTCCTGTATATAATATAGGATTAGTCATACAATAATTATAACACATTTTACGTTATGCAAGTGAAAATATAAGGTAATGCTTGTTATGGACTGATCGCCACCTGCATTTGTGGATGTAATGCCTAATTGCTAAAAAGGGAACAAAAATAGGGAACAGAGACGCATATTTCCCAAGAGCACACCCGATTATGAAATTGCAATATTAAGTTCGTAGTTGCAGTTACGTAACGCACATGTGATATGTTGTTTACCTCTTGAAAGCAAAAGTATGTTTTCTCTCTGTATTAAGTTAAGATTTCAGGCACTCCCACAAGATCTGTCTTTTTAACTAATTATA